TGCTCTGTGTTACACAATGCTCAAATACACAATTTTAGCAGACATTTTAATACGTTCGCTTTACATCACAGCAGCTCCAGCACCCCGACGGTGCTTTAAAGACACGCCCCCATTAAAATCTACAATATCCAGAAACACTCACACTATTCCAGCCGACCGACAGTACCTCCTACAACCAGCTCGCAGTGAAACTCAAAATCTCCATCATCGTCTGCAGTGTTCCAGCCACATATTCCACTCATGCTCGTAGTAGCGTCTCCGCTAAACCGCAAGAATCAAGCCTACATCCGCATTCCTCCACGCTTCACTAATGACTGAATTTCCTGTCCTGCTCCGTAAATTCCATTAAATCGGAATTTCAGAAGGAAGCTTTCCAGATTTTGAGTTGATCAGTGCATCACATGAAAGCATGTGATGTCACATGGTTGCACAGGGGCAGGCTGGGAAGCAAACTTCTGGGCAGGCCTGGGGGTGACTGAGTAATTCAATTTTGTAGTAAAGTTTAGATGATAAACCTGCCATTTGCCGGACGCTGAAACAATCCTGTAATGTAAAAACAAATCTTAGTCTTCTGCAAACCATATTATCTTATTTTGCACAACCGTGTAAATATGAATATGCTTGAACTCCATCTTTTTAAATACTGTTATTTTCAAACTGAATTAGTAAACTACATTAGTTAATATGAAGCATTTATTAGTCTTAGTTAATGTTAATTTCAGCATTTACTAATACAGCACATTATTAAAATCAAAAGTTATATCTGAGCCAGCATGAACTAACAAGAACCAGTTGTATTTTTATCAACTAGTGTTAAAGTTAACGTTCTGTCATCATTTACTAATGTTGTTCCAAACCCAAAAGACTTCATTTGTTTTCAACTGAAGAAAGCAAGACATTTTAAAAAATGTCTATGAAAAGTGTTGTTGTTCATACAATTAAAGTCAATGAGGTCCAGTGTCTTTTCTTCAAAATGTCTTCTTTTGTGTTCCTTTTTGATCATGTTAACAAACGAAAACTTGTAAAGTGTTACCAATGCCCCTTACCTTGGTCAAAAGCAAAATTAAGAAATATTAAGTACTTAGTCATTTTTTCCAAGTAATATTTTCATATCAAAACAATAGTAGATTATGGAAGCTAGTTCCCACCATGGGATAAAAATAAATATGAATTGCAGAATTGTCAGAATTGCAAGCTTAAAAATTCAGAATTTTAAGATATAAACTAGCAATTCTTATATATTTTTTGCTTTGTTTACATCACAGGCTTATATGAAGACAATGAAACACTAAGAAATTGATTTTGAAATACAGTGCTTACATTTATTAGACCACCTGTCATAAAGAGAAAACACAAATATATTAGGAATCTGTCGAAAACTTGTTTAAAACTAAACATTTTATTGTCATTTATTAGGCAAATAACAAACTGAAACAACTACAGTAAATAGGCTTTATTCACAAAAAATAACCAAAAAACACTACTGTGAATGAAAAGCTTACACATACTGGTGGATTAACCAAAACAGACACATAAATTAATGAATTTGGTAATCACCAGTACTGTTAGTTTAGGGCAGATGTGGCACAAAACTTACATTGGGTGGTGGGGTCTAATAAATTTGTTAAGCATTGTACATTTCATGAAATGCAAATACTCTGCACTGGGCGATACACACATGTAAACACCCTATATTATGTACACTGCACTATACTCCCATTTTATTATCATTACAATTGCTATGCAAGTTAATAATAAACTCATAACTTGATATGCTGTCCCAGTTTGCCAGTATGCCTATGGTAACATGGGACAGAGGAAAAATTATTCAATATCCACGGAAAATCAGGAAATCAGACAAGTTTGCAAGAACAAAAGTGTGAATAAGTTATGCAACTTCTAATTTCTGGGTGAACTATTGCTTTAACAAAGCAATTACTTTATTATCTCTCTCAAAGCAGATAAACGTTTTGAACGGGTCAAAGGGTTTCATATGCAATAATCGCACACTAATGCGTTCACATCAGACGGACTGTAGCTTGGTCCAGTTCCTGTGTCTCGGCTAAAGTTCCAGGAACCGCACATGATCACAAGATAAAGATTAGGAGCTGAGAAAACACACTTAATTGAGCACACGGCATGTAGCCACTTGGCCAGACAAAGAAAGCCTTTTATCACTCGCCTCAAACGATCAGCTTCTCTCAACACAATGAGCTCTGTCGCTGCTTGCTATGATTTTAGTTCATCTAAACAAGGTTCAACTGACTGAGGGCAAATCTGTAATTTGGTAAATTACACTCACCAAAAAAAAAAAAAAAACACTGATCAGGAACTGTGATCTGTGCTTAAAATATCTCAAAGATGCAGTGAGTCAGTGTTTTTATTTGGTGACAAAAACAAACAGATGAATTTCAGTGAAACAACAAAGATGTTATTCAAAATTCTGCTTGACAGACGTGATCAAAAGAAAACATGATTTTCAGTTTTTTGAGTAACTATTTCTTTGCACACTGGCTGTCAACTGAAGACACTTAAGGTCTCTGCACACTGAGTCCGAAATTTTCATATGCGTTTTTTTGTATTTGAAATCCTAAAAATTAGTCATGCACAGAAACCTTGCACATTGAGTCCGATGCGTATTAATTAATCCGTTGCAAAAAAATTCGCAAAACGGCACTAAATGGAGTCGTCAAGCAGTGAGGATGATTTTGTTGTCCTCTCGCTTCTTAAAAAAATAAAAAGAAAGGAAATATTGGGTCCATCCAATCCTGTGATAGAGAGGAAGGAGAGTTCCCCCTCCTTATTAAGGTCTGCAGTGTTCCAGCCACATATTCCACTCATGCTCGTAGTAGCGTCTCCGCTAAACCGCAAGAATCAAGCCTACATCCGCATTCCTCCACGCTTCACTAATGACTGAATTTCCTGTCCTGCTCCGTAAATTCCATTAAATCGGAATTTCAGAAGGAAGCTTTCCAGATTTTGAGTTGATCAGTGCATCACATGAAAGCATGTGATGTCACATGGTTGCACAGGGGCAGGCTGGGAAGCAAACTTCTGGGCAGGCCTGGGGGTGACTGAGTAATTCAATTTTGTAGTAAAGTTTAGATGATAAACCTGCCATTTGCCGGACGCTGAAACAATCCTGTAATGTAAAAACAAATCTTAGTCTTCTGCAAACCATATTATCTTATTTTGCACAACCGTGTAAATATGAATATGCTTGAACTCCATCTTTTTAAATACTGTTATTTTCAAACTGAATTAGTAAACTACATTAGTTAATATGAAGCATTTATTAGTCTTAGTTAATGTTAATTTCAGCATTTACTAATACAGCACATTATTAAAATCAAAAGTTATATCTGAGCCAGCATGAACTAACAAGAACCAGTTGTATTTTTATCAACTAGTGTTAAAGTTAACGTTCTGTCATCATTTACTAATGTTGTTCCAAACCCAAAAGACTTCATTTGTTTTCAACTGAAGAAAGCAAGACATTTTAAAAAATGTCTATGAAAAGTGTTGTTGTTCATACAATTAAAGTCAATGAGGTCCAGTGTCTTTTCTTCAAAATGTCTTCTTTTGTGTTCCTTTTTGATCATGTTAACAAACGAAAACTTGTAAAGTGTTACCAATGCCCCTTACCTTGGTCAAAAGCAAAATTAAGAAATATTAAGTACTTAGTCATTTTTTCCAAGTAATATTTTCATATCAAAACAATAGTAGATTATGGAAGCTAGTTCCCACCATGGGATAAAAATAAATATGAATTGCAGAATTGTCAGAATTGCAAGCTTAAAAATTCAGAATTTTAAGATATAAACTAGCAATTCTTATATATTTTTTGCTTTGTTTACATCACAGGCTTATATGAAGACAATGAAACACTAAGAAATTGATTTTGAAATACAGTGCTTACATTTATTAGACCACCTGTCATAAAGAGAAAACACAAATATATTAGGAATCTGTCGAAAACTTGTTTAAAACTAAACATTTTATTGTCATTTATTAGGCAAATAACAAACTGAAACAACTACAGTAAATAGGCTTTATTCACAAAAAATAACCAAAAAACACTACTGTGAATGAAAAGCTTACACATACTGGTGGATTAACCAAAACAGACACATAAATTAATGAATTTGGTAATCACCAGTACTGTTAGTTTAGGGCAGATGTGGCACAAAACTTACATTGGGTGGTGGGGTCTAATAAATTTGTTAAGCATTGTACATTTCATGAAATGCAAATACTCTGCACTGGGCGATACACACATGTAAACACCCTATATTATGTACACTGCACTATACTCCCATTTTATTATCATTACAATTGCTATGCAAGTTAATAATAAACTCATAACTTGATATGCTGTCCCAGTTTGCCAGTATGCCTATGGTAACATGGGACAGAGGAAAAATTATTCAATATCCACGGAAAATCAGGAAATCAGACAAGTTTGCAAGAACAAAAGTGTGAATAAGTTATGCAACTTCTAATTTCTGGGTGAACTATTGCTTTAACAAAGCAATTACTTTATTATCTCTCTCAAAGCAGATAAACGTTTTGAACGGGTCAAAGGGTTTCATATGCAATAATCGCACACTAATGCGTTCACATCAGACGGACTGTAGCTTGGTCCAGTTCCTGTGTCTCGGCTAAAGTTCCAGGAACCGCACATGATCACAAGATAAAGATTAGGAGCTGAGAAAACACACTTAATTGAGCACACGGCATGTAGCCACTTGGCCAGACAAAGAAAGCCTTTTATCACTCGCCTCAAACGATCAGCTTCTCTCAACACAATGAGCTCTGTCGCTGCTTGCTATGATTTTAGTTCATCTAAACAAGGTTCAACTGACTGAGGGCAAATCTGTAATTTGGTAAATTACACTCACCAAAAAAAAAAAAAAAAACACTGATCAGGAACTGTGATCTGTGCTTAAAATATCTCAAAGATGCAGTGAGTCAGTGTTTTTATTTGGTGACAAAAACAAACAGATGAATTTCAGTGAAACAACAAAGATGTTATTCAAAATTCTGCTTGACAGACGTGATCAAAAGAAAACATGATTTTCAGTTTTTTGAGTAACTATTTCTTTGCACACTGGCTGTCAACTGAAGACACTTAAGGTCTCTGCACACTGAGTCCGAAATTTTCATATGCGTTTTTTTGTATTTGAAATCCTAAAAATTAGTCATGCACAGAAACCTTGCACATTGAGTCCGATGCGTATTAATTAATCCGTTGCAAAAAAATTCGCAAAACGGCACTAAATGGAGTCGTCAAGCAGTGAGGATGATTTTGTTGTCCTCTCGCTTCTTAAAAAAATAAAAAGAAAGGAAATATTGGGTCCATCCAATCCTGTGATAGAGAGGAAGGAGAGTTCCCCCTCCTTATTAAGGAGCAGCAGGATTATCACGGGCGATTCAAAGTTTACTTCAGGATGTCAGTGGCTCAGTTTGATGCTTTTGCATATTAAAAAGAAGACCACCAATTTCTGTGAACTCAGTGTGCAAGGATCTATATACAGTGCTTTGTGCTATGAGACGAAGTGGATGAACTTGACAATTGCCATTTTGGATTTTGGCATTCGCTTGTACGGTGGCTCTGAACTGTCAAAACACCTCTCAAAATGCTTGTTACGGATGCGAAAAACGGAAAAAATCGAACCCGATCTGAATTCGGAGGCAGTGTGTAAACGTGATTGACATGACGTGAGGTCGTATTTATTTTTTAACGTGCGAAAATGTCGGACTCAGTGTGCAATGCCCTTTAGACATCTGGATCATCTTGAAAAAGAAGACGGCTTACCAGAATTTGAGCGCATCCTTTGCTCTCGGGTCACCGAGTTGTCGCACACAGTGAAACGTGCAGAGAAAACTCTCCAAACACTGAAGACTGACCTGAAATCAGAGAAAAACAACAACATACATCTCTGTTATGAAGGAGATTTGATTTCACAGATGAATTAGATGTTTGCATTTTCTGAAGTATAGACACTTGGTTAGGAGTTTGATTAAACATATAACTTCTGAATGATGGTAAAAATAGGGCTGATTTAATTGAGCAAGCACCAGAAAAATGCTCTTGCAAGGCAGTTTTGCTTTGTGCACTTTAGTAGTACATCAAATTAGCAATAAATGTATTATATTTCTACACAAACGTATCAAAATGAGACGCGCATTGCTTTTGGCCAGTTTTGATCAGCAAGTCTTTTCCTTCATTCAGTCGACCAGTGAGCTCTCAAAACACCCAAAGACGTCTCTGTTTCTCCATTTACTGGAACAGACACAGAATAATCACATTACATGGAGCAACTTCCACTCACATGAGCGAGTGAGTTAGAGGCCAGACGCAGGAAAAGGTACTACAGCTGCTGCTGCTGCATCTACATGAGTGTGGCTGTGCCTTAGATCACATACTACACATACTACCCAAAAGCAATACAATAATATAAAAAAAATAAAAAAATAGATAGATAGATAGATAGATAGATAGATAGATAGATAGAACATTTATTATTATTATTTATTTGTTTTTATTTTAGGTTAAAATATGACCCTTGATAAATTCTTAACTGGTTTTGTGAGGTTCATACATAGTAGTAGTAGTATTATGGATGAATCTCATGAAGTCTGTCAAGAATTTGTCAAGGGTCATATTTCAATCAATCAATCAATTACGGCTGCGCGATATTGAAGAAAAATGCGATATGCGATACCGTGTTAAAAAATGCGATATTCGATATGCGATACGGTAAGTGTGTAAAATCAATTTCAATTATATTTTAAAATATTTAAAAATGAAAATTATATAACAAATTTGTTTCACATTCTTTCTTGGAAAAGAAAGAATCACTACAACTTCTGAAAGTGACCAGCAGTGTTTTAGCATTACATAAAAAGTAATGTCACAAATCAGAAAATGTCATTTTAACATCAGTGTGAACATACAAAAAAAAAACTAATTTTATATCATTGTAACTTTGCTTTCCATACACTGTATGGATACTAATACCATACTTCTTCATATACAAAACTATAGTCTGAAAAAATTCAAACATGATTAAAGGCAAGTGAACAGTCAGTACAAAAAAAAAAAAAGAAAGAAAAAGAAAAAAAAGAAATACACAATTTACAAGCATAGATCAAATAAACCGTAGTATTCAGGTACAGAAATTTAATAATTAAGTGTAAAATAACACTGCATAGTGTTCACTGTATGAATTAAATTTAGATTAATCTTTGTTATAGCTGTTTTGTTGTTTGATTAACATTAGTGACATATTCAGCAGCACGTATTTATAGGCTGCTGTCCCTTTAAATCCGACTGCATGGATCCAGTATAATAATACACATCTTTCTCACCGGTTTACATTCATTTAAAACATACCCGACTGCACTTAAAGGGGTCATATGATGCCATTTCAATTTTTCCTTTCTCTTTGGAGTGTTACAAGCTCTTGGT